TATATTTTCTAATTGAATATCCTAAGGCAAGAGATTCTAAATTCCATATTGATATGGACCTACAAAAAGAGGATATTGTTTTGGATTTTCATTCCATATCATAAAAGGAAAAAAAATCGGAAAAACATATCTAATATAATTAGGCAATGATTAATGAAAGTTTTTTAAGTTACTATTTTTAGGCTATAATTAATGAATTTGGCGGGAAAAGATTACTAAAAATGAATTATGTTAATCCTTATTATATATTAATAGATGTGATGCTTTTTCATTGACTAACTCGAAAATACTATTTATTTTATTTTAATTTTCTGATCTCAAATTATTTAATATAACTTTTAAAAATAACATCAAACTAACACGGAGGATACTTTAAAAATTAACACAGATGGTAGCTTTGTTCCGGCTACGGGGATGGCTAGTGCTGGAAGAATTGTACGGGATCATCATGGGGCCTAGGTCAGTGGTTTTACGATGAATATCGATTTTTGCTTGATCGTGGGAGCTGAACTTTGGGGCTTATTCCAGGGTTTGCAGCTGGCATGGGATATCAAGGCTCGTAAAATTGTAGCGGAAGTTGATAACCAAAGTATTATTGAGATGGTTAATCGTGAGGAGCTCCCCGGGCCGCATGGGAGTCTTATTCGGGGGATTAAAGAGCTGATGGGTAGTCCGTGGGACCTGGAGATTGTTCATGGCCATCGTGAGACAAACTTTGTGGCGAATTTTCTGGCTTCTGTTGCGGCAAAAGGTGCAGGTGGTCTGTATCGGTTTGATAGTCCTCCTTCAGGAGCGGGTTATTAGTTACACCATGATCTTATTGGCGTTGTTCATCCACGCCAGATCGTGATTGAGCGTTAGCTTTTGCTTCGCTCCTTTCTCGTACCAAAAAAAAATAAAAAAAATAACATCAAACTCTCATGATAAGTTCAAATTAATTTTCAAATATAATTTATATATTATATTTTGAGTAGTTTAAACTTTTTATAATGTATCATTGAAAAACTAGTCAAAATCATTTTCTTATAATGATTAATAGGTAATATATATGTATGCAAAATTAAGATGAAAATAGTATAGTTTGTATTTATATTTATTTTAGCTGATAGATTAAAAGTATGATTGGTAAGCAGAATATTCTAAATTATAAGCTTCTAACAAGTTAATAAAATAAGTTTGATATGTTAAAGGCAAATTTTTTAGTAAGTAGAACTTATCTCATAAATTGAATGAGTAGCTTTACAAA